GCTGGGAGGGCGGCATCCGGGTCCCCGGGCTCTTCCGCTGGCCCGGGGTGCTGCCCGCCGGCCGAGTGATCCGCGAGCCCACCAGCCTCATGGACGTCTTCCCCACCGTGGTGGAGCTGGCGGGCGGCCAGGTGCCCCGGGACAGGTAGGCACGGCGGCCCCTCCCCGCCCTGTGACATTTCTGTATCTTCAGGCCCCGTGTCCCTGCATTGCTGACGCTCCCAGGTTGGGGTGGAGCTAGAGATCCTCCTGCCTCAGCCTCCCGGAGGACAGGGATGTCAGCCGTGCACCACCACACGAGGGACATCATGAGGCCCAAGAAATACTTTCTCCTGGGCTGGGGGTATAGATCAGGGGTAGGGAACTTGCCCAGAATGTGTTGGGTCCTGGGTTCTATCCCTGGCACCACAAAATAATTAAATAATGACATGAAAGTCAGGCGAGGTGGTGCACAACTCTTCTAATCAGCACTCAGGAGGCTGAGGCAGGAGAATCTCAGGGAGTTTGAGGGCAGCCTGGGCTACCTAATGAGTTCAAATACAGGCTGAAGTACAGCCAAGACCCTGTGTCCAAATGCAAAACCACACCTCTAAATAAATAACGATGATGACAATAACAATGATAAATGGGGAAGAAGTCAAAGGAAAATGACCATACCCCGTCAAACGTAAGATAACAGTAAAATACTAGGTCACCAACTGATTTTCCATTCTTCTTAAAAATTTTGTACCTCAGCCTAATATTAAGGAGAATAAATCACTGGAGTCTGATCCCTGGAACAAGCAGTGTGATCCTCGTAGCAATCTCATGAGCCATTTAAAAATTAAATCTATGATATCTATGTATGTGGTATTGCACACAAAGGAATACTACGCTGCCATGAAAAAGGGGAAACTGGAGTCATGGGTAGGAAAATGGATGCACCTGGAGTCCATGTTATTAAGTGAAATAAAAATCAGACACACAAGCTTCCATGTCACATGGTTTCTCTTCCATGAGGAGCCCAAACTGTAACTTAAGAGCCAAATAAAAGGCAGGTGAGAGTTAGTAGGGAGAGATCTTTCTCTAATGGGAAGGGGACCAAGCAAGGGAGGGAGGAGAAGAGAGGGGAAGACAAACAGAATGGAGCTGTTCTGGGGGCCTGCAGCAGCTCCCCGTGAAGAGTGTGAACATCACATGCAGCAAACAGAGTAACAACAAAAACAATTTTGTAAGAATTTTAAACAAGGTCTGGGGATGTCGCTCAGTGCAAAGGCTCTGGGTTCCATGCCCAGTCCCCCCCCAAAAAAGTATTGAATGAATTAAAAATAAAAGACTAACCTAAAATGCACCAATAAACTTAATGAAAAAAAAATAAAAGACTAAAAGTGTTTTGAAGGAAAACCATCGCATTTCTACCAAACATCCAGGTTAAGAAATTTTTAAAATATAAGTTTGGCTTTACAGAGCTGTTTGTAAGTGGAGACACCCAGCAGCCTGGCTGGAATCTGAAGACTGAGAGTGAATACCCAAGGTCACAGTGGAGTGTGTGTGTGTGTGTGCGCACGCACTTGTGTACTGTGTATGCATGCATGTGTGCGTGCACATTTGTGTGCACACCGGTGTGAATGTGCATGTGTATTGTGCGTGCATGCGTGTATATATGCATGGCACACGTTTGTGTGTGCACACGTGTATTGTGTGTATACATGTATGTGCATGTGTGCACACCTGTGTGGATGTGCATGTGTGTATCATGTGTGCGTGCACGTATGCACACGTCTATGCGTGCATGTGTGTGCATGCGTGCATGCCTGTGGACCCATGAGCCTTCATGGTGTGCCAGCTGTGTGACACAGTGACCTCGGGTCTCCCACGACAGCCTGTGTCTTGCTCATGGGCCACAGCCTGAGCCGCAGCAGGCAGCCGGGCAGCGGGCAGCTTCCTGGGAGGATTCCCCCTGGAAACTCTGCTCACAGTGCCCAGTGCCACCCTTACATGGCCTCTCCTTGCATCAGGGTAATCGATGGCCGCAGCCTGCTGCCCTTGCTGCGAGGGGAGGAGGAGCATTCAGGCCACGAATTCCTCTTCCATTACTGTGGGACTGAGCTGCACGCTGCTCGCTGGCATCATAGGGACAGTGAGTCCACCTGGCCCTGGGAGGGGCTGGGCTATGGCAGAGCCTGGGAGACGTGGGTCTGAGGGCATGGATGGG